GTTCACTATGTATGGAGTCGGGTGAATTACGGTTTGTCCTCAGTGAGCTGTAGAATGAAGGGAGGCCTTCCTTACTGCGGATCAAACACCTGCTGCACACGAGTCCATCACGGATTACTTGAGGAAGGTGGGAGACGTTGCCAATAAGCAGGTATTAACGTACATGGGCGGTGACAGACGCTACAGCGCCTATTATCAGAAGGATAACGACAAGAAGTGTTATGTAGGAGTTGCTAAGCCATCGTTGAACTGCATTTTTGAGTGGAATCAAGGGCTGTTTGAGGACGCGAATGTGAAATATCGTGGTGTTCCGTTTTACAGAGGTTCACTGCACTCCCTCGCTGGCGCAGGCCCACTGAACGGGTACGAGTCCTACTGGCACCATGGTTACCCTGCGCACGGCCAATTGTATTTAATATCTCGCCTGGATACGAAGGGGGGAAGTGCGACGGCAACGTGGTACGACGGGGCAGCCTATGCCTTCAAGGACTCTGATATGCCTTCTGCGGCATTCGGCATTGTCTGTGAGGTGCAAGATGTAATTACTACGGCGACGACGGAGGCCCCGACCACGACGACGACGGAGGCCCCGACACGACGACGACGGAAGCCCCGACCACGACGACGACGGAAGCCCCGACCACGACGACGACGGAGGCCCCGACCACGACGACGACGGAGGCCCCGACACGACGACGACGGAAGCCCCGACCACGACGACGACGGAAGCCCCGACTACGACGACGACGGAAGCCCCGACAACGACGACGACGGAGATGGTGGTGTCGTGGGCGCATGAGCACTGGCGCGTCATTCTTCTTGTCCTACTTCTGTTGCTTTTCGCCGTGCTTGCACTGATTGTCATCATCTGCTGCTGTTGCCGCCGTCGCACCGATGATCAATCCAAGGGGGTGACGCCCATGGAATTGCGGGAATTGAGCGACAAGGCGTTGTATGGAGCCCAACGGAAGCAGAACGGCGGCTCGGGCGTGTCTGAGGACCCCGTTGTTCCCATGCGTCCTTCCCGTGAGCAGCAGCATGTGTCGCCGCGAAATTCCTGGATATCACCTTCGAAACATGCAGTACATTTTGAGTCTTCGCCACTTCTACCACCCGCAGCAGATGGTACCCAGTCATTTCAGGATCCAGAAGCCACGATGGCGGGAGCGTTGCATTGGGCAGTTTTGCAAGTGTGGAGTTTCCAAGGGGCGAGGAGATTGCTGAAAGCGCAGATGATGCCTCTCTTGGGAATACTAGGAGAGTGCGGCGCGGTGGGATCGTCGGAAACGTGGTGAATGGGGATGATCTGGATACAATGGAGTTGCAATAGGCACGCGCATTGTGGGGTTTTCATTGGGGTAGGGATGTGGGCAGCGCGTGGCTTGTGTAGCAATGCTGCTGTGCCCGGTGATAGCTGTGTGTTTACGCGGGGTGGGCTTGGGGTTGGACGAAGTTGTGTTCGTAAAAATAGCATATTGTTTTGTTTTTGTGTGTGCGGTCATCAATCATGACGCATTTAGTAGGATACGATAAATGAATGTGAATGTTATTAGAGCTGGCGCATGTGCACAATACGCGTCTACTTTTCGGTTTAGTTTTTGTTTCTCTGTTGGGTGGCTGCGCGGTTCCCGGGTCAGCTCTCCACGCGGTGGACGGTGCGAGGCGCAAGCGGGCGGAGCCTCTGCAAGAGCGGAGTCCGGTGGACTGGCGCCATCGCCCGCACCGCCACTGTATTTATTGTTTAATGATGCCCTTCTGTTGTGTTTTTCGTTTATCAATAAGCATGCCGGCGATGGTGCGAATTGGGGGCGCAAAGAGGAAGGTGCGAGGGTCGCCGCTATGAAGTGGGCGGAGGACAATAACATTCGACTGCCTCTCACGTGCGCCATTTTTTCTTATTTACCGCCGGTCTTTTTTTTTTGACTTTATTTTATCTTTTATTTTTTTTTTGTTAGCTGTTTTTTTTTGTTTGTTTTGTTGAGTTCTTTGTTTACGCCCTGTGCGCTGGGTTGTGGTGGTGGACGCTTCTTTCTTTGCGCTTGCGGCGCCGCTACTTTGTATGCGGTGGACCACGCTACTTTTCTGTGTTGTGCCTTTTTTTTTTTTGTGTGTGGTGATCAGTGAGTGTCGGCGAAGGTGGAGGAAGGCGCCTCCGTGCAGGCGGTGGAATGCCGCGGAGTTCTGCCCGTGACGAACTGCTGCGCCGAAATTTCTATGGCATGTTTCTCCATTTTGTTGGCTACCACGCTGCGAAACTGGCGTGGCATGAGTAGCGCTCATGCCGTCCGCCTGCGTCGGGCAGCAGGTCACCGCTTACTTCGGTGGGCCGCAATTCCGTTGTGCGCATGGGGGCGGGGGTGGGATGCCCTGCGCGGGTTCTGCCCTGCCCCATTTGAGGGCCACGCAGAGCATTGAGCAAGTGGCATA